GGCAACCCAAGCTGTATTATAGGAGTTGGCATGTAATTGTGCAAAACCTCTATTGTAGTGGTGACTTACATCCAAGGAGTAGACGTTACCAGTGGTCTTGATGGCAACAATGTTGGTATTGGCATTGAATACTTTAAATGTAACAGGACAGTGATATTTCCCTGCAATAAGAAAGGTCTAAAGTTACCACTGTTTTTATTGCTTCATGCTGGACAAGACAAAAGGTGTGGCAGCCAGATAAATAAACCACTGACTACGGGCAATCAAATAAATTGTTCCTATGCACCGTCCAATGGTTCTCATGTATCTTTACATACATTGTAACTTAATGTTTTGAAATAAATAAATTCTATGTTATGTATTTATAAGTTATTTATATTGTTCTATGTTATTTATAAGAGAACCTACCATCTGAATTCTTGTGAAAATGTAAGCGTATTAAATCCTTCAGCTCTAGAGGCTGGAACAAAAAGTACCGGATTAGAAAAATAACCTTTGAGTACATTTTGTGAGGATTATTAGACATTATATCTACATKATTACTGTTGGGAAGCTTGATTTTATTTTAGTTCACTATAGTATTGATTTATACAAGTTAGGCCTAGGGCAAACATCAAACTATCCATGCACCGACCTCATTAAAAACAATGGATATTAGGTGATAATGAGGCGGCATTCTTTGATGTACTAAGTTCGGTGCATGGAAAGTTCGACGTTTGCCCTAGGCCTTATTGAACTATATTTGATTTTGTAATAATATTTAGGCTATTTTCTATCAGGTGACACACTATTTACCTCTCCATTTACTGGATTACATTTGTATTTCTTTAGATAAGGCACAATATTTCTAAAGAAAAAACAAATTAATATAGATTAATATGCTATATTTGGGAATGCATAAATGAAGAATATTGGGTGGCCTAGTATCTCTCATTCATAGGCCAGTCTCAGGTTCGATTCCTGAATTCTGTATCACATCTAATATATCTAACTCTGTTTCTGAGCAGAGTTTGTCAGGTTTCTCCCTTGACTCAAGGATAATGTCCCAGGTTCTCTGGTTTTCCTTCCTCTCTTACGAATGACTTAGATCTGAGTCCAGAGGTTGGCCAGGCCAAGACTCAGAGTCTTAAAATAACTAAAGAGAAAGTGCTGCCTTGTAATAACATAGACAAATGGTTAGACCTTGATGTTGTAGCTTTGGCCATATAAAATGAAGGTCCCGTCTCTACACACTACCTCACCCTGCATCAAAGGGACCATGAATGAAACTGACTACGGATGCCTAAATAAAGAACCCTGGCATTGACCACCTACAGAAAGTCTTTACTTACAACAAATCAAATATCACTCCTTCTTTTGTACATAAAGGATGTTCAAATGGCTGAAAGGAGATACTGTAAAAGATAAAAGATTGACAATCAATATCAATCAGATACATGACAAAAAGAATATTATYGGTAAGTGGAGTACAATGGTTCATGTTGGCAATTTATTTATATTAACTTTATTTGCAAACATTAGAGTGCAAACAATTAATCCGTGAAACACTAATTACTAAATTTTGCATGGAATTGTGCTATTTAGTATTACTAAAGTTTCATGGTTATATTGTTTGCACTCTACTTCATAATTACTTCAGCTATGAGGATAGTATCCTTGTAACCTAATGGTACAAACTTCACCCCTTTACCGTTTTAATGGTATCTACATTTACATGTATAGCTTATTTCATAAGCCACATGGATTTGACATACAAGCTAAAGCAAGTGCATGAAATCTCTGTAGAACAAACCTTGACCTTTTGCTTAGCTGGCAGTACACAAGACTTGCTTCTCTAGTAAAATAGTTATTCAAAAATCTATATTTTTTCTTATGTATTATGTTCTTAATAAATATATGTTATTTACTGGCCCGGAGGTCCAGATAGGGAAAAACTGTGCCCAAGGTCTTGAATATACGGACCGAGGCCTAACGGCCTCGGTCCGTTTTCTAGACCGAGGGCACAGTTTTTCCCTATGCGGACCGACTATAGGACGGTAAATAACTTTTTTTTTTCCCCGTATTTTTTTTACTTGTTTTTGTAATCGTTTTGTGTTGTCCTTTAGCAGCAAAGGATACCGGACCGCGCGCGCAGGCAGATACTTACAAAATACCGCCCCCTCAAACAGCCAATCAGAACGCACGATTTTTTAGGATACCGGACCGGAAAAAAATAATAGATATTATGATATGGTGAGAGTTGTGAGTGAGTAACTGTGGCAGATTTGCTATTTATGTATTGTGTGGAAGTTATGCTAAGATATCAATGCACAATGACCTGCAACAGCTGAAAGGCAGTCTTCTGAATGCTGCTCTCTCCCCAACATCTAAACAATTAAACAAAGAATACTATATTATCTCAAAATCGTCAATAAAATGCACGAAAACTTTTCTAACCTTTCTTCTTGCCTCCCCATTCCTCCTTCCACTCCTTATTTGTTATGTATCTGAAACGAATATAAAGCCATAATCAGTGGCTGTGAATAGAATAATACTCTTATTTCATGATCTGACTTACAGTTTGTCCTTCTGGTGCTGTTTTTTGCCCATAATGTTTGCTTTTTCCCAATGTTTTTATTTTCTTTTTCTCAAAAAAATCGAAAACAAAAACGTTTGACTGACCAGCGGTAATCATGATAACAAATGCGTAGACCTTTTTAGCGCATAGGGCAATAGTTAGTAGCCGCTGTTCATTATTTTGTGGGCTCAACAGGGTACAAAAAGATTGAAACATGAGTTCAGACATTGGAAAAGTAATCGAGGAAAAGTTAAAGAAAGAATTCAACCCTTTGCATTTGGTAAGAGAAGTTTGAACGATTGATCTAAATAGAGATGAATGTTGAAATTCTTAGGTTTAAATTTGTTATACCAAGGGTTTAGAATGGGGAGGACAGATCAAGATCGTAGGGGGCTGATCTGACTATCTGTTTTTGAAGCGTTTCTAGGACAGCTGAAGCTACAGTAATGGCAGGTTTATTGGATTAAGACAAAAATCTTTGTTGAAGCACTTGGGGGGAAGGGGGGGGGGGATATCATTGCAAGAGGTTTGAGATACTATGTGGGATACTTGATATCTATATTTTATTTACTAGTGTAAATTGAGGGGTGCTACTGTCAAGGAACTGCAGGCACTGGAGTGGCTGAAAACAGTCTATAAGAGATCATTTTTATAACAAGATAATATCTTGTCCAGTTGTTGTCAGCATATTTTTTTATTATTATGTTTACTTCAGAGTGTTGAAGATCTTTCAGATGGCTGTGGAGGCAAGTTCATGGTGGTTGTAGTATCAGAAAAATTTGCAGGAAAAAGTTTACTTGAAAGACACAGGCTTGTAAACAGTTGCCTGGAGGAGGAAATCAAGCAAATACATGCTTTTTCACAGAAAACTTACACACCAGAACAGTGGGAAAAACAAAAGAGCAAGTGAATACTGTGGGTTGTCATGACTTGGCATATCACAAAGAGACAAGACTCACTTCTTACTAAGACTATATGTGAAAATCGTATTTGACCCAAAAAAACTCTGAACAGTATTTCTTTTCTTATGATATAAAGCTAAATGAATGAACTTTGCAATCCCTTTTAAGTTTGTGAAAGATGGTTGCTTAAATAGTATATTTCATTTTTGCTGAGAGTGGGTAGGCGAGCAGCAACACTAAGGTAGACAGTTTTCCTATGTGTTTCATTCATGGGATCCCTATGTGTTAGATAACAGCAAAAATCATGATTTGGTACATCAAGCCCCTTGCAGAGTAAAAGTCTGGAATTCTGATTTTTTTTAAAGTCTCTATTAGTCGGGCCATTGAAGAAATTGTTTAATTACCAATATATATATCCAGAAGTGTATTGTTAGAAAGGTTTTCTACAATTCTCTGACACAAATGTAAAAGACTATTATACAGGGTTCGTGCTACTCCTTGAAATCCTTGAAAAGTCCTTGAATTGAAAACATGTTTTTTAGGGCCCTTGAAAATTGGGAAAATCGCCAAAACTCCCGGAATACTCCTCGAATTTAATGCAAACTTAATGTAATTTCTAACTTACCTTTTAAAATAAATAACGATTAGAATTGATTGAGAGTTTCTGGTTGCTTGTTTACTGGTTGGTTGCATGTCATGCTCGTTTTTTATCTAAGCTAGTGGCCCCAGCTGAATTAGCTGCACTTTAACATTGAATCAATGTTTAAAACCACRTTCTAATACAAAAAACTTTGTCCTTGAAAATCGAATTTTTGTGCTTGAAAAGTGCTTAAAAAGTCCTTGAATTTCGTAACGAGAATGTAGCATGAACCCTGATTATAATCATTCTATTCACTCAGCTCTCTGTTCATAACTAGAGACATTTAGATCCGATGACCAGTTTGATAACAAGTACAAGTTTTTAACTTTTAAAATGAGGCACTATCATTTTGTAGTTGTGATTGTGTACGTAGATTAAAACTTTAGTGTAAAAAATTGGAAATGAACTATGTTAACCACGTGCACAGGACCAATTTTAAAACTGGAACTCGTACTCGATCTCGTACTCGTCGTCGGATCTGAAGGTCGCTACTATCTGAAGGTCATATTACAGATATCTCATATTACAGCCTGATGAAAATATTGATGTAAGTTAATGATCTCCACTGATGTTTTTTAATGTAATGGTCTTGAAAATTCTTATCCCATTACGACATACAAGAGAGGTAACCCTTGCTTTTCTGCCCACAGAGAGAAGGTCTGGTCCTGCATTGTACATGAAAGGTTGAATGGATTGCAAATAAAAGTTTGGGTAAAGGTACATTCCAAGAGAGGAGGGGCAGGTGGGATTAGATATTTTTATCATTGTATTGAAGAAGATTTAGGAACATTGAATTATATACTAGCATAGGAAAGTATTTTTCTTAGGAACTGGCCATTATTTGTAAGAAGGTGGGGAGAAATCATAGAGGGACAGGTGTATTGTTTTAATGACAGGGGGGTCATGATTAAAATAGATTGTGAGTGGGGTTTAAGTTTCTCAATATGTAGCTTCATTGTGTTCCAAAACCACAAAAATTATTTTATTCTGATGCAAACTTTTAGAATAATCATTCAGTATTTAAAAAGCACCTTTTCACACCTAATAGGCAATAGCTTGGAAGCCTTGATGTGTGGCAATACTCCATCAGTTCATATCTGAAGATTACTGCTGTTTTTAAGAAAATTCACTCTTTAGTTTCTAATGTGATCAAAATTTCAGGAAACTAAAAAAACACCTGGTTCACATAATTTAAAAAAGAAGCCATGAGAGCAAGACTAAATACAAGAATACTGTAAAAGGTCATTCTACTTATCAAGAGGCTAGTGAACCTGGATTCAATTATATCAAGCCTCTAGACACTAACATCAACTAAGAATGACACCAACATCAACTCAAGATGACACTCTTAAATAAACTGAAAATGACACTCATCAAATGAAGATGACACATCAAATGAAGATGATACAAACAACTGAAGATGACACTAATGTCAACTGAAGAGGACACCCTAACATCAAGTAAAGATGACACACTAGCATCAACTGAAGAT